CCCTCCTCCTCCCCCCACCTTCCCGCAGGAAAATCTCAGTTTTGTGCCTATTTGTGAGAACGGGAAAAGGGGGAAGGAATGCAGCGAGATCTTCGAGGGGGAGGAAGGGGGCGGGGTAGCGCGACGATTGAAGGGTGGGCCGGGAGTTGGCCAAAGGGGGGTATAGTGAAGAAGGGTGAAGGGAAGGTGAAAAATCGCTCCCCTCCTCCCGCCCAAGAAAGCGCCCTGGATCCGGCTAATGGAAGCGTATTGTACATTCTGACAAACCCATCGGTGGTTTTTCCAGTCTGAGGGAGTGCTTAAGAAACAAGCTGAAAGGATATGAGCCCCAGCATGATAAACCAGCATTAATGCTGTAAGCGAATACTTGCGGGCTGACCTTTGCAGCGGTCAAAGGACATTCTGTTCAAACCGTGCTGGCCATGGTGACATAACGTCACATCGATTTTATCATGATTAAATATGGCATACTCTTGAAAGAAATCCAGATCTCATTTGAATTCTACTACAACAACAGGCCTGGATTCATGAAAATTTAAACAAAATCTCATCGAGAGAAGCAAAAAAATAAAGCGATTTTTGGACAAGCGAAAAAGTACCGGCTCGATGTTACATCCGTTCGCATTTGTCGAATTCCCTTCCAAATTCTTGTCCTGAAAAACGGCCCAGCGGTTTTTTTTATCGACGATGATGCAGTATAATCTAATATTACTTAGAACTTCAGATTATTCAGAGCTGTTAAAATAAGAAACAGAATCGAGGAAAAACAATTTCTCATCTTTGATAGCGGAAAAAAAAGGAAAACAAAGATTCCCTATTACAGGAATTACTAATCAGCAATAACGAGGATTTCTGGACTGATAACTGGATTAGCTACTTCATGCCTCACAGAATAGCTAATGGATACAGTTTCGAAGGGAACAGCTTTTTTGGCTGTCATATGTCACTTATTTTGTGAGTATCAAACGTGCTTCGAAATAACACATGTTTACGCATCAAGTATTTCAAATAAGTTTACTCACCAAGCAGTTCTTCAACATTCACTTTTTTAAAGGAAGGAAGGAAAAGAGAGATGTGGTGCACTTCTAGAGACAATCAGTTCTAAATTACATATCTCAAGAAGCATTTCTTTTCGGATTCATGTGCTCCAGGAAGACATATTTGTTCTTGAATATCCGCATTTTCGGATAAAGTTCATTCTAGACACCGAACAAATGCCAAATGCCACAGTAAGCTGCCTTTTCCCTTACTTTACCATTCCAATAAAAGTTTTCATCATCGTATTGCAAAAAATTAAGAGAAGAAAGAACCTTTTTGGTAGCGGCTTCATTTTTGGATTCCGTCTTAACAGAACGTGACGAT